ATATTTTTCATCTCTTAATATGTGGTATTAGCGGCATAAAATTTTCATCAAATTTAGAAAAATCGTAAGTGAGAGATGCATGAGATATGTCGGATATTAATGCAGGAATATTAAAACGGATGCGGTGTTCTTTTAATCAAAGATTAATTCTACATCTGTAAAATGTAAATGATAATGATAAAATTTGTTCTCTCGCAACGCCGACTGGTTTTTTTCTCTTGTTAATTTTTAAATTTGGAAAAATGTGAAATGCGTAAAAATTTTAAAATAATTTTACGAATTTTACTCATCGCTATCAATAACAGACTGAAAACAATGTTATTTATCGAGAACTTAAACAACTGATGCACTTCCGAATCAAAGTTGGACGTGGAGTATAATCTAAATTAGCGTCGTACAAAAATATATTTATACGGTGCACTCTCGATTATCCATACTCGGTTTATCCTGTTTACGGATTATCCGCGTTATGATAAATTGCTAATGACTAATGATGAAGATGAGAAATAACGTGCTGCAACAAAATGATTCATTACTAAATCCCAGAGGTGAACGAAAATCGCGAACTATTTATGTAAACGTATTAAACTCCCCCACTCGCGCGCGTATATATGTATTATGCATATCACGAATAAATTACAGTTGTACGGTAATATTTGTTTGTGCCTCAATAAAGTACAGCATGTGCTTTGGATTGCCCGTGTTTCTCGATTATCCGTGCCAGCCTCCTCCCAATTGCCCTGGATATAACGGACAATATACTGTACATGTGTATCTGCATATAAACAAATCATATTTTTAATACATCTCTCACTGTGATTAAAATTTTTCCGTGAAATTAGTAAATAAAGAACGCTGATATATTAAATCGTATTTTCGATTTCGTATTTCTTATGTGAAATTTTCCATTTTTTTTTTTATTCGATTTTTATTACATTAATGCATATCAATTATTCATCGATGAAAAACAATTCATTTTTCGATCTAAATTTTACATCATGTTTTTTGATGAATATTTGATCTCTGTCGCATATACATACAATTTATATAAATATATTCGAGTATATTGGAGGACAGATTCTGTATTTTAATATTGGACATTAAATTTATTAATTGTAATACATAACGCTAAGTTATATAGAAAAACATGTAAGCACATTTAGATAAATATTTTAATCCCTAAAAGTACGATAAAAACGAAAGGGGTAGATATTCTCTTTGTATTAGCAGAAAGTGTGATAGAAACACGCTAGCTTGCGATAATTATATAAATTTCGAATCTCTCTCTCTCTCTCTCTCTCTCTCTCTCTCTCTCTATCTCTCATTCTCTTATCGACTTCTTTTAAACAGTACATATCGACACTCACTGACAAGCTTAAAAAGAAAAACCGTGCACGCGATAAGGCCGTCAACATAAGTTTTCCTATACAAACTTATTCGTTCGGAAAAATTTTGAGAAAGAACGTAATGTCAATATATACGTGTGTATATATGTGTGCGCGCGCGCGCGCACACACACACATGTAAACATATAGGAAGGAGGGGGAGCTGTCGAGTGAACCTGTACGAGAAATCCTCGGAGGGCATATACGGCCCGTTATCAGCGGCACGGATAAGCTCGTACGGAGTCGACCGTTCGAGGCAAGATCGTGGAAAAAGAGCGGCATCGCCCGAAGGGCGATGGTTTTTCCGATGGGGGAAAAAGTGGAGTGACCCCGTGGCTCGATTGGGAATACGCACACATCCGGCGCGCCGAAGATGTTCGGTCGGGGAGAAAGAGAGCAGCCGGTCGCCACTTTCCGGTAGCAAGCACAGCCGCACACTATTCCGGGCACTCTATTCACTTTTCTCATTAAGCAAATCTCGGGAGGAGAAAACGAGTTCGCGCGCGCGGATAGAACTTTAGACGATAAGCCCGATGAACACGCGGAAACTGCGCCGCCGCATCCTCCCCCCCGCCGTTCCCTTTTACATCGAATCGCTTAATCTTTCTTCGAAAGTCCGCGTTTCCCTCTAGCACTCGTACTAACGCGTGTTTTTAAACGCCACGGCAGGCGCTGACTTAGGATCTCAATATCGCATAGGCTCATCGCATTACGTATGGCTTTATAAATAAGAATGAACGTATTAGTATGCGTACAGTATAACGTCGTGGGATCAGCGATATCTTCACCGTATATGCGCTTCTTATCGATTCACTGTTCCCCGAATGTCGTTGAATTCAGAATCCTCCAAATATCGTCGATTTCCGACATTTAAATGTACGTACGGAAAGCGTAAGCAAAGTAGAATGTAATTAAACGCGGGAATTTAATATCTCCTTTGTGCTTTCAATTTATTAATTTGGAAAAAGGATGCAAATAATTTATTTGTATGTATTCATTCATTAATATGATGCGGACTCTTTGTAAATTCAACTGTTTTATAAAAGGTGGGGTCCTGTGATAAAGTGGTTTTTATAATAGTATGACGGCGTTTTATGAAAAAGGCAAATTTACAAAGAGAGCCTGCGACATATATATATATATATATATATACATACATAGAATATAATATATATTTATTAATAAATTTTTCAGAGATTGCTTTGTGCGAAAAAAATTTCAAAAATTTCAGAATTATAATATTCCGCGAGTACAGGTTAGCTTTAAAGAGAATAGCATTATGATTTTATCCGGGTAATTAATCCGAAATCTTCATTTTCATAATTAATCTTCTTGCAGCTTCCGTCTAACGACGTTTTTAGAACCATCAATTTTTTTCCTCCCTCGTTGACTTTTGATTCCGGCGTTATATGACTTTTCGGTGCTTCGCACGTCCGCGCGCATAATTCCGCCGCGAGCCTTTGCGGTGAGCAAACCGAACGCCGCCCGGTATCGATTTCAGTTTTACGGAATGGAACGTAGTGGCGGACGCCGCTTCAATCGCGCTCGGGGCCGATTTCAATCGAGTCGATCCGAACCACTGATTAAAACGATCGTAGACACGCCAAACCGGCCGGGGAGTGTATATACCGGCGGATTCGGATGTATCTCGGCGAGCCAACTATCTCGTCAATGAGATAAAGCTCGAATGGATTAAAGGAAGAGCCGTCGCGCGAATGTGGTGCTATCGGACGAAGAGATTGCGGGTCAGGAATAGCGACGGGGAGAGAAGGGGAGATAATAGGGGTTAGGGGGAGGGGGTATGATGCAGGAATCCGACTCGCGAATGCGTTTATCTCGATCCGCCGAGGTCGCGTTACATGTTCGCCGCTGAGAAGCATTTCATCAACGTCATTCGCCCGCAGCCTCCTCATCCACCTCCCCCCTTGCCGTTCCTCGTCCCGCTACGCGTCCATCCCCTTTCGCCTTTTGTTCCATTCTTTTTCTCACTCTCTCTCTCTCTCTCTCTCTCTCTCTCTCTCTCTCTCTCTCTTCTTCTTCTTCTTCTCTCTCTCTCTCTCTCTCTCTCTCTCTCTCTCTCTCTCTCTCTCTCTCTCTCTCTCTCTCTCTCTCTTTCTTTCCCTCCCTCCAACTTGCTTTTCGTTCCGTATCTTTCACTGTTTGCGTCTCCACACTCTCTTACTCCTCTTATTCTCTTTTCGTATCCTCTTTGTAGACAGTCTCTGTGCGATTTTGTTTTCCCTCCGCTGATCTCTTTTTGTTCCCGACGTTTCTACGTGCAGAGCGCGAATATTTCCTCGCCTTTGCTCGGTCGGCTTGGTATCGGAGCGGACGTGTTTCGTTTAAACGAGAGACGGTAGGTAGGAACGACAGTGCTGTCGACGATGCTGTTTGTGACGATTCGTCGTCATCTCGAAAACGAACGTCGTACATCCTGTTGGGCAGACGAGCGACGCCTGCACTTCCCGAGTCTTTTCGGGCATCATAAATGATAGTTATCTGTTTTTATAGCGAGCCATTATAGCTTCACAACAAGTCGTTGAACACGAAACAAAGATCTCAGCTTTTAAATCACTGCGACTAAAGAAAGTCGGGTGACAGCGTGATAACATTACGATGAATAAGAAACATTTAAATGTCTTAAAGTTAGTCACACTTTCTTTTATAATTTTATATTTTTTATTTCTGTTGTTTTCATTTTCTTTCTTCCGGAGAAAGAATAGATATCACATCTTTCAGTTAACTCTAGATGAATTAAATAATTCTGATAAAATTGTAATTCAGAACTCAGCCACACACACACAAAAAGGAGAGAGATGTATAATATCGAAAATTAAAAAAATGCGCGATGATTATTCTTTAAGATTGCCTTCAAATTAATCTTAGGAGCCGTGGTTAAAAAACATCCGATAACTCTGGGTCACCCGAAATATACATGTTTCGCATCGCGGGTCAAGTGCGATACGATCACGCCCATGGCTGCAATTTTTTCGGAAGTCGACGAACGAAATTTACTTTTGCCGGTGAATGCGCAATCCTTTTTTTCGTCGATCTATGCTGAAGATAAGCTGAACTCACGAGTTCCGCTTGTCTAACAGGAAGATCGCATTCAGTGCGGGCACGAGATGAGAGTCGGGCGGCCGCATTTAGCGCTAAATGGGCAGTGAGAATGTCGACTGCTGAAGCATTTGCGTTTTTTTCGCACGGCCAACAGTTGACATGATTATAATTGAAAGCGATACAATTCTCTTCTATTTTTCTTTCAAATTCTACTAACGAATCTATTGCGTCTGCGATTAATAATAATTATATTTGTAGAAATATCTGTTTATTTTTCCTGCGTAAAATTGTATCTCAAAACCGTGAAATTTTAATTTCCCTTTCCTGAAATGCTTTGTACAACTCGACTGCGGTTTGTGTATTAAAACAGTTTTATTCCACAGAAGGAGCGTGTCCTCGCGCGCATATCGCGCGATGAGAATAACATAATCGCGATAAGTCGCCGTGTAGTACAATTATTGCGGAATTAACCGTGTCTCAAGGGCGCGGCTTTACCAAATTACGCGGCGGCGCGATTATTACAACATTAATTTCATTGTATGCTTCCTGTTGCAGGTCCAAAGGCGCGGAATAATTCGGAACAACGACTCGCCTCGCCTCGTCTGCAGAGGAAAACAATAATCCCTCCCCGCCGTTATTAAACGACCGGCGAATAACACGCGGCTGCAATAAGCGAAATCGCCGACTCGGAAGGAAGGTAAGTACCAACGCGCCAAGTCGTCATCCCCTTTTTCCGCACACCCGCAGATTCCACGCCCGATCCTTTCCAACGATCATTTTCGAAAACGTATTTTCGTTCCGCGCCGCTTCGGCGGAGAAAATTTCCCGTGGAATTGCGCTCTTCTCTCTCCCCTGTTATCGTTCCCTTTACCTGCAAATTCGATGTTAGTTTTCCGTATCGGCAGTGTATGTAGAATACGGCGCGTACTTGGAGAGAATACCTGAAATAGGATTACTTAAGCGGACTGCTTACTCGAACAATACAGGAGTTGGCAAAACATCGCGCGGAGTATTCGTCTGATTTCCGTTGTCTCTTGATAGTCGGCATTATTTCGGCGGTGGTTCTACTTAAATTGCCATCCGCGCGCGCGCGCGCGCGGG